AATAAATAATAGGTATTATATTAAAAATTATTATAGACAGTAATAATATTACCAAACTTGAGAGTTACGTGAGTTGAGACAATAACTAAATAATTGGTATTACAACCTTGGTGCCAGTAGCAAATTTCAAGCTACTATTTATATAAATCGACGACTTTTGATGAATTGATTTTAAATAATATCAATTATTTAAACTATAAACAAACTGTATTGAAGACTACTCCAGTTATATATACTTATTGTAGGAATAATATAAATATTCATTCCTCTCAATAAACGTAATATATTTGGTTATTTGTATAAATTAGTATGAATGCTGAGATGTAAAGTTAAAACAATTTTAACTCTGAAGTTATCTTCCTGTTAGTAAAAATGTACTTATGTTATGTTATAGCAGTTGATATCAATATAACTTAATTCGTCTTAATGACCATCATTTTATTTCATGTATACCAATAAACAACCATACCCGTGTCACAAATACAATCAAATCTTTAATAGAACACATATTTGCCAAGTATATTGTTAACCATGATACCTACTTGCGTTGATCCTTGAATGCAAAATTACTACCCACTATGCCATAGCCCATAATAGTTCAATTTAAGAGTCAAATGTATTCTGTTGATACACAAAATGTTCGAGTAGGTACTACTACCGATAAAATACCTTATTGGTATAAAGCTAAATGAAAATATATATACAATTAATTGCAGGATAAATGTTTTAAAAATAAGAATAATATTGATGATTGAATAAATTGCTTCTAAAAGAAAATAGATGAACTTATATTAAACTGTCCATCATAATGTTGTCACTCTATAAATTCTTCGAATATTAATCTAAAAAATTAATTTATACAATATAGATATCTACTTTCTACTTTAATATGTAAAACAAACACATTATATTATTAAAGCCTAATGTTTAATGTTAAGATCAACTATCAATACTAATCTTAAAAAAAGTTGGCTATACTTACTAATAAGCTAGCAGGCACCTATATATATATCATTAAAAAAAAAATATTGATAAAATTAAGCAAAATTACCATATAGGTACCGATTACTAACAGCTTGTAGGTGTATTGCAAAATAATTTTATTCCTTTTTTTATAATTATGTAGCTCATAATATCTAAAACAATATTTAATTACGTGAAAAAAAATTGAGACAATTTAAATTCCAACTGCCACTTTAATTATTCTATTTTTCAAATATATATTAAAAATAAAATATAACATTGCTCGTTTTGTGAATATGGAATTACTAATATTATACTCATAAAAACACGAAACCTATCTATCTCTTCCTTTAATGCTAGAAGACAATTATGTAGTATCTACCCACATACTTGAAACCTAATAGGTGTACAGGAAATCGATGTCTCAGCTGGGCGATGACTGATGAGTAATGTAATCGGAAAATAATTTTTCTTCACATAAAAAGTATGATATCATAATTATGTGTATTTAGTGCATAGACTGCCCTAAAGAATAATTTAATATTCTTTGTGCGTATAATAACAAGAAGAAACTTTGAACTAGTTTCAGGGAGGAAAAACTACAATTTAAAATCTGTACATAAACTACGCCCTTAACTGCCCCGGATAGGCATTATAACATACAGTTTACATTTATTACTGGGCTAATAATGTTGGTATAATCTTGCTTTATCTGTATGACTGTATTATGTGTACACATCACGTATGTCTACATTGATTGCATTAATATTTATAATATTTTATGTATTTTTTTAGGATTATAAAAATGAAAAAAAAATTTTAAAAATGATTTATGTAATTTTATTGTGGATACTTGTTGGTACTTTGAATATTTAGCAGAAATTGATTGTTATTTAAATTTCCAAGTAGTTTTTGAAAAATCACCCAACATCATAATATGGAAAATATTATGTAGGCAATGTGTGTTATAAGAATATAAGTTCTAGCTAAACATTGGCAAATGGCGATTTATAACTGAACCAAGCTATTATTTTTGAAAAACAATGAATTACATATTTTCATAAGTAACTTTTTAATTTTAAGTATAAATAAATCAATTAAATGAAGATATTTAAAAGTACCAATTTTTACCATTATTTTGGATTTCCTCAAAATTGATTAATTTATTAAAAAATACATTGAAACACTGATATAATATAATTTATATTTAAATACTAGCCAAAATCGCATATATTTAACTCCTTAAGATTATTACTGTTATTATGAAATCGAAACCGAGGAGTTTTTTAGTACAAATACATGGCTTAGTAGGAAAACACTCTCACGCCTTGGTTAGTATTTTTTTTATTTAAAGAAGAGAACATTTTTGAGGTTGAATCAAACCGTGATTTTTTAAACTATAATTATAGAAGCTAAAATATGCATTTTATTGAATAATGCACGTTATTTTAAATTTTTTAAACGTATTTTTTAAGCACTATTTATAATTTAATAAAATACGGGCTTTAATCCGACCTAAAAAGAGTTTTCATCTTTCAGATATAAAACATTATCGGATTCGACTTACCAATGAGGCGCAAGAGTTTTTCCCGCAAAGTAATTTTTGTTGATATAATACACCATATCGACTTGTCCTAAATAAGCTTAGGACAGTAAATCAATGGAAAAAAATTATGATTAATATAGCAATTAAAATATAAAATATAATTTACGAATTATATAGAATTGTAGGGAACTGGAAAAACCAGCCCCAACAACCCTTAAGGTTAGGTCTTAGGTCATACAATTTAAACGACATATCACAAGCTTATAATTGCCAATATTATCAGTTGATTTCCAGTTTTTCTCAATGTATAATTCAAGTACATACAGAGAAACCTGTCTTATCCGAACCCTTGATAAGCCGGAATCCTTTTCTGTGGGGAAATTTATTATGGTCCCGGCAGATTTCTATAGTAAAATTTAACATAGGATTAAACCCTTGATAAACCGGAACCTGTCTAACGTAAAATGGAAAGCTATTTATTGGTCCCGCAAATCATATACACAGAAAAACACATCATAAAATGAACAAAAATATTTTTGATACCCACATTTATTTTGCTACTAAACAATTATTAAGATCAGCGATTAAAACGTATCGAAAGATAAGTACATTTTATTTTGAATCTACACATCAGTGCTTATTATTGTCACCGTAGTCGTAGTTACCTGTCGTTTCGTATCGCTGTATTTGCTCTCGTGTCTTCAAAGATTTGTTTAAGTTTAGGCCTATGATATTTTTCTTTTCCCGGAAAATGTTATAACCTTAATCGTGCAGAATATTATAACTCTATATTACGGAATTTTCCTTTTTATTCAGTTGTATGGAAACCTGCCTAAAACGAAAATTTTTATTGGTCCCGAGCAATTCCGCACAAGACAGGTTTTACTGTATAGAGTGATTAATCAAGCATGCTTACCCCCTTATTTTCTTTCAATAATGCAGTTAGGTATTCAAAATCTCTCTTTTTTTAATTTTAAGTATACTTAAAATCGATATTTTTAAGCTCTTAAGATTTTTGTGCTATTTTAGGAATGTTTTGAGGGTATAATGGGTATATAAACTTCTTATTTTCAAATGAAAACTCCCCTTTTCTACTGTAAATAATTTAGCAGATAATTTTTCTGAATATTATGACACATCAAAATCAAAATTTGAACGAGTTTAGAGTATCCTTGTAATATTTAAATATTTTAATGACTGAGAAGCTACTCTTCAAATTTTGATCTAGGTGCATCAACATTTTCCTCTAATTAATTTACATTAACAATGGGTAGTACGTATTTGAAAAATAGAAGTTTATATCTAAACAGGACATTTAAGTGGTAAATAAAATCTCAAGAATTTTAAAATGAGGTATTTAAGAGGACGCCACACCTGCATGTGTTGTCTCCGTCTTACAAGCATACAACATAGCAAAAATTGTTTTGAGCTAAATAGAACCACTCAAGCTGAAGTCCAAACTATAATTTCATATCATTAAGAAGAGATAACATACTTACTGTGCAACATCGTTATTATATTTTGATATCACAAATACGAGAAGAGTTCTTATTGTTTAAAAACTCATCATTTCAAACTTGAATAACTTTCTTGGTATTTGTGATATCGAAAAAATAAAAACGGCGTTGCGCAGTAAATATTCTCCTCTTAATAGTATGCAATTTTGGTTATTTAGCCTCGACTATAGCTTGAGAGGTCCTATTTCGCGCAAAACAGTTTTAGCTATGTTATACGTTTGTAAGATGAAGACAATACACGAGGGCGTGGCGTCCTCCTGTGTATATTTAAAAGTTCCAAAAATCAAAATTTGGACAAATCCATTATTAAAGTGAAAGATGGGAGTGAGAATATTTGGTAAACTTCCCTGTGTTCATACATAGTTAAAATAATTAATTAATTAATATACTAATATATGATAATTTTACATAATGTAAGTATTTGTAAAATATGTGACAGTTTATACATTGAATTAATGTATAAAGAATGAACATGAAATAAATGTTAATTTTCATTAAATCAAGCAGTAGGAGGGCATTTTGGTAACTTAAACTCTATAACAGTTAGACCTTAGTCGATTTCCTGTAAAATTGGAAGCATGTGATTAATTCTGAACAATTTTTTTACATTTTAGTTAGAGCAAAGGAACAGTGAAAATTACAGTAACTACATAGTTCAACAATAATGAAGTTATTTTTGTACGTTTTCCAATTAACGTAATATCATAAAAACACGAGTCATACTTCAGTATCAAGTTTTCTGGTAATTAAAAAAAAATCATTATAAATTTAAAAAAAAAAAGAATTAGTAAAACTAATTAATTAAATCTTGACCATTTTTGTAGGTTTATAAATTCAAATAATTCAAAACAAAACTTTATTTTATTATCTTATTTTGTTAAAGTTGTATATTCTTAAATATTCCATAATTACCCAACTCTAAATTTTTTACAAATTTTAATGCATCTTGTATTATTTCAAAAAAAATAAATAAATGGCAAAAAATAATCTAATATATTGTCAAAACTAAGATATTTTATTAAAATCTAATAACAGATAACACATCGCCTAAACAGTAAGCATAAAAAAGAAACAATTTTTAATATTCAACTGAAATGAATAAGTTTGTTGGTATCATAGCTATAACACATATTTTTTTCAAACAATCCATTTAACATAATATAACACAACTTTTCATATTATCCCACAAACTTAGTGTGTGAACCTTGAGCCACGACAACATTATCATCTTTCCTCAACAATGTCACTTTTAGAAATGCTAAATTTCTCCCTAATTTAACAGTTTCGGAATTAATAACTATTTTGTCACCAATTTTTGCTGAATTAAGATACCTGAAAACAAAAAATAATAAAATAAATAAAATGTAAGTACATAAAATAGTAATTTTTTTTTAATATTACATTTTATTTGAAACTGGTGATAAATTTAATTATATTGATCGAAAAAAAATTTATTATTTTATGTAAAATGAATTGAATTATGTACCTATTTTTTTTTAATCTTAAAAGAGATACAGGACTTCCTGAATAAGCTTGAGTGGAGGTAAAAATACATAATTATAAAATAATGTATATTATTATTTATAGTCCATACACCAAAAACGATTTTTTAATAAACTTTGTATAAATTATAAATATTTTTATTGGAAATATATTTAAAAGGATAAATTGTAACAATAAAAATATACATACGAAACATGAATATCAACTGAAACACCACTGTTAGGCGCTGAACCAATGTCCTCAACAATTCGTGGATGAGTCATAAGAGCCAAACTCGACAAATAATCTACGGCAGCTGCTGTAAAACCTCCATGGAGTGTACCATATCCATTGGTATGCTGTTCTTCAACAACCATCTCAGCAACACATTGGCCATTTCCAGCTGATATTAAATTCACCTTGTATAAGTATAGAATCAATTTAATTTGTGAACCATTCAGACTTAAAAATAAATAATTTTAAATAAGAACTTTATTTTGCAATTACATAGGGATCTGCTCACAAGAGGACAAGGGTGTCATATCCAACCATGACTTATTTTAGTTATCTACATATATAAGAATCTAACATGATTTTGGAGACAAAGGAAAACGATTTCGAACCCTCATTATAATAGTAATAATAATTAACTAATTACCAATTATTTTCATATATTCACCGATAACGATGTCTGTTTTTTTTTTTTTTTTATAATCGTTGTATTATTTGTATAGCCAAAAAATAGTCTTGTGTTTTTAAATTAAATTATAAAAAAAAATTTCTTCCGGGGGAAGATCGAGTAGCTAGTATATTATATATGATAAAGCAATGAATGTATACATAACGTGGTCTGAGAATAGTCAAAAATTCATATCTCCCCCTTCCAAAAAAGATGAGTATGTCACTGCAATTAACCAATACCAACATATATATCATTAAAGCAACCATGTATACCTTTTAGATTATTATTTTTTCCATTATATGAAACCAGAAATTTTGGTTAACCAAAAGGATATTGTTGAATATTACTTTACACTTATACCTTGATTAATATTTATATATATAAGTACCTACTTGTTAAGATTATTTTGTGTCCTTTTACTAAGTTATATTGGTTATTTTTAATGGCTGGTCTTATTGAGTGTCAAAAAGTTGTTGATTACATATAGATTACAAGAAAAGCTAAAAGAGCTAATGCCCTCCTCATATAATTTAAGAGTCTTTCTCATTTACTTTATTTACGTACTTAATTTACAGAAGAGTGGATTGCTTTATAGTTTCTATAGTAAATGCTAATAATACTTAATATGTTAATAGTGTATGGTTAATCACTTTATAAAGCAATGAGTAACTATTTAATTTATATTTGTTTGATGTATATTATAGGTAAGAACATATTTTGTGTTGGCATTATTTCATTCTCAGATCCAACTCCCAAGTAACTACAGTTTCTCTATAAAATAAATAGTATTAATACATCAAATACATGCATACATTTATTATACCAGTTTTATTTTTTATCATGGTCAAATTTAAATTTCCTTATATTAATGTATTAACAAGTTTAAATATTTAAATATACCTGATATACCAAGTTACCTAGGTATTATACCTAGGTAGTTTAAATAGTAGGTATAATATTATACAATAATAAGTTAAAAAGCTAGTTAAGTATTTCAAATAATTATACAACAAAATTAATATTACCTTTTCAAAAATTTTACTATGTGTATTACTTTTGATTGAAAAATTTAAAATTTTTCTGATTGATTCTAATGCTTTGTTACAGCTCATTATAATATTATGTGCGATCAAAAATAAATTCAGATTAACAAAATATAGGTATAAGAAAATCCAAAATATCTAAGTGTAAAGTTTAAATTATTTCATATGTAAATACTATTAATTATTACAAAATACAAATCGCCGACCGATTTTTTATCACTAATCAGTATTCAGTGATAAGTGATAACACCAGAATATGATAAAATCACTGTGGAAATGCAATAAAAAATAATTAATGAATAAATACAATAATATATTACGTCAAGCACGGATTAAAAAAATATATATAATAAATTTATTTTAAGCCATGACGTCACAGATAAATGTCGAACAAAATATATCCGTGATCTACGATAGGGATAAAATGACTAGAGCATAGAGATATAAGGCAAAATTACTATAAAACGATTAGCGGTGCAAACACGATGGGAAGGGGTGCTTAGAATAATTCAGTATCCATATGCCCATATTATATTGTTAATACTCATGACGATTATACGAGTTACAACTTACTACATAAAATATAATATTATAGTATATGGAAAACGATTCAAAGCGAAGATGGTCGCCAGCCTACAATATTAGTTATTACTAAGTACCTACCTATGTATATTTTATGATACCTATTATTGTTATTAAAGTTATTTATTTAAATATGATTTATAATAGTCATTAATACTAATAGTAATACCTATAGTAGGTTAAATTTATTTTTGTCGAATTATTTTTGCAATTTTAAAATGTTATTGTGTGTATAAAATGTAATAAATGTCTACTCTGAGAGTTTCAAGTACCTACCCACGAATAATATTTTTTAATTTCAGCAAAATTACTAAAATCTTTATTCGTAGGTCAAATATGTAGAACTTTGTACAAATAACTAACTTAAAATAACTAAAAAAGAACAGTGTTTATATATTTTTTTGATTTTTGGTTGTAGAATTAATTACTTCCGTGCAACCTTGTTCTAATTTGTCAATTTTTAGCTATAAACGTATAACATCTTATACATTTTTAACTATGAATAATTTTAAATTTTGAATTTGATAAATGTTGCCAAAATGTGGCTTTAAATGGTTATAAAAAATAATTGTATTTGTAATATTTTTCAACTGCTATTGTAACAATATATCAGGATCCTTAAATTACATTTTCAAACTTTTTGACCAAATTAATAAAATTGTGTTAACATTTATAGAATAAAAAAAATGAAAATTGAAAATGTCTATAAATGGCTTAAAACAAGTCAAACATTCTTTTAAATTGTATCATGTATTCATGTATAGAAAATTACAAATTAAACATTTGAAAATTTCAAGTAACTACGGTTAATAGTTTTTGAATAACAAAATAAGAAAATCGTTGAAAGATAATTTGTAAATTTAGGGGTATTCAAATGCTCGTAAAAAATTAATTTGACTTTCCGAAAACTTTTTCTTTTGATAAATGTTGGAAAACGTAAGGAAATTTTGTATTACATTTTCAAAAATAAGTTATAAATTTTAAAAAAATGTTATGAATTTCTAACTCAAAATAATTTGATAATTTTAGTGATTTTTACGACCTTTTTAAATTCGAACTTTAGACGCCTATAAACAATTATTGTTAACTTAAACTTAATTTTTTTTAATTTCCACTTACAACAGCTTAGGAGGAACATCACATTACATTTTAAGTTTTTTGACAAAGTGAAAATTTTTTTATCGATATTAATTTAAAAAAATTTATATTAATTGCATAAACCTTTAAGACCTAGTGACCAATGGGAATTTAAATTTTCGACCTCCCGAATGCACCAATTAGATTAATTTTCCCATCGGCAAAGATACTGAAGTTAAAAATTGAAGCGTTATTTTGACTACTTATCATCTACCCAGACACAAAAAATTAAAAAATCAAACATCATTGTAAAATCAATACATTCATCGCTTCGCTCAAAATCTAAAAAATCAAATTTAATGAATTAATAAAAGCACGAGACAAAAAGAAAATGAAATAAAGGAATATGGGTAGGTATAGCGAAATGCTTAAGCCTTAGCTGTAAAAAGTGAAAATGTTACCTACCCATAAAATAAAAAATATATATGTATACATATATACATAATATGTGACATATTTAATTAAATTTGGCTACATTTCTCCAAAACGTTATACAAACACGATATTGACCTAAATTATTACATTTATAACCATAAAACAATTTACAAGTATGTTGACATATTTTAAATACCTATTCACAATTCCAAAAATATACAAAAATATGCAGTCAAACTTAGTATTTAATTTTACCATTTCAAAAAAAAATTATATCTTGCTTAAAATAATCTTCGACTTAGACAGTCGACGACCTACAACCTACTACAAAAAACAATCAAATTTAAGAGGTTTCTAATAAAATATAATACATAGCATAGATATTAAATAACCAAATTATAGGTAATACAATTCTAATGAAAAAACTACAATCCAAGGGTAAGACATTTACGAACACTTTTTCGATTATTTAAATATTGGCAGGTAGGTACCTATCTAAATTTATTGTTTTTAGATACATCAGTCGGGCAGTCCACAGACCACTATATACCAGGTACCACTTAATTAGCACTTGTACTTATATTACAGACTTAAGTATTGGATTCTTTATCTTAAATCTTTTATCTTCAAGTAGGTACTGGTTACTAGCTGGCTGGCAATTATATAATGTTTAAAATATCAAAACTCAAAATGGTCTTAGCACCTTATCATATATTATCAACAATCATAATCGTTATCATTATCGGTACGCGGCATATATTAATGAATTATAGGAGGCTTAAAGCCTAGAGGCGACAGCCAAATATTCTAGTGACTTTTCAAATTAAAATTATCTTTAACTCTTTTAACTACCTATTTTCAATTGCTCATAAACCACAGTATTACTAATAAATTACATTATATTTCAACATTACTGTTTTAATGCATTACTAACTTTTACAATTTCCATGTTCATTATTCAAATTAATTATTATTTATCATGCATTTAAAAATGTATTTTCATGTTATTTGTAATTTGTATTTAATTTTATACATAAGTTGAGATCAGAGTTCAGTATGGGAGAAAGAAAATTCACTAAGGGCTTAGGGCGGCCAGGAATGGCAGCTCAACTTCGAGAAACTGTATCTCAAGTTGTCCGCGATAGTTCAAATAACGTAAGTCTTAGTAAATAAATTTCACTTTTGTAAAATGGTTTTTTAAATTATTTTGTACAATCATTTTTTGTTGTTATTTAATTCTGAGTTTAAAAATGCAAATTTTGTTCTGAAACTTATTTGAGTTATTTAATATTTTGTAAACAATTATTGCGAATTCTGACTAGATTATTATATATTATCTACTTAATGATTTTATGTATTTTGCTTTTTATTCAATAATTGGAGTTTACCATTAACAAGGCTTTTTAAATGTTGAATAATAGGTACTATATGTAACTATTTCTTAATTTCAACCCTTTAACTAGATTATACGAAACAGAATAATTAGATTGTTAAACAAAAGTTTCCGGCTTACCCCAGGCCATAATTGTCCTAATTTCACTAATTATCTTTAATTCCTATTCTTTTTCTATTTCTGTAATATCATTATCTTCTCTGCTGAATTTTTATGACAGCTCAATAATGATTAACTAAACATACAACTAAATTATAAAATTATAATTTTGAATTTTTAAGTAAATTTGGGTCATTTCAAGATTTTAAGTCAAAAAGTTCAGAGGCTTAAAGTTAAGCTCAATTTAGAAAATAAAATACCATACATTACCTAATTCTTGTAAAAAGTGTACTTAACTTAACAAATTTGTATCTATTATTACTAATATAAATAAAATGAATATTATTCATATTGTTATTCTATACATATTTTATCATTCATTTTAATAAGTTTTAATTATTTTTTGGTAGCAAAAATGTTTTCAAGTAGATCCATTAGACTTTGAAGACTATATTGCTAAGAACCATACAGTTTTTCAGAATGATCCTCAAAGAGAATTATTATTATATCCTTCTGATGATGTTTCAGTAAGTTCATAACTAAATCAAATATTACAAATCTCATTGTTTGATAGTTAGGGCCAGTTGTACCATCTCTGATTAAAATTAACCCAAGTTTAATCGGCTGAATTTGGCGGGTTATAAAATCTGTTATCAGGTGATTAAGCCTGATTTTGTGTAACCATAGACGGTACAACAGGCCTTTACTGTAATTTTTTCTTAAACATAATGAAACTTCTTTTTACATAGCAAGTGGTTTTACCTAGAAGATATCGTACTATGGACCCCAGTATTCCTTCAAATGCAGACACTACTGATTGTTCACTATTAACAAAAAGATGTATAGAAAGTTACTTAGCTAACTGGCATGTTATACATTATAAATATAGTGCATATTCAGGATCATATATTCAATTTCCATCAGAGTAATTATATTTATACAATTGTTCCATATTAATTTAATCAGTATATAATACTATAGTATACACTGTACATACTCAATTTTTTTAGGGTATTTAAAAATGATGATTTCAAAGAAGAAATTTATGAAATTGACACAGACCTAGATGGATTAGATAAAGTAAGACAACTATTATGTGGTATGATATAATAATATTGTATAACAATTAAAATTGCTTTTTACTCACAGGATTGGAAAACAGTAAAAAATGATAGTGCTTTATTCAAACAAGGATATTTATATAAAGGTCCTGATGGTGGCGGAGGTGCCTCAGAAAGAATGTTTGCTAATTTAGCTGGTTCAAAATCTTTTAAACGGCGTTTCTGTATATTGAAGTAAGTTTTTATGCTTTATTATACTGGGGGGTTTTTTTTAAGTAATAATGTTTTAACGTTTAACTGAAAATAAACATTTCTTAATTGCTATAAATTTAATTATATTAATTTTAAATCAAACATGTATTTATAGACAGCAAGTTGATGGCACATATATATTAGAGGTTTATAAAGACGATAAAAAAGGAGATACGAAGGCAACAATTGTTATGGATTTATGCGACAAAGTAATTCGGGTAAATATTTTTGATTATTTATTTAATACTTAACACATTAGGATTTACTAAT